GCCCTCGGTTCAAGGTTCGGGGTTAGTGTACTGTCATCCAAGAGGCGGCACGCTCGCTGGCGCTGCATAAGCGGGGCACTGGGACGCGTGCGTACTCACCTACTCGAAGACCAGTTGTAAGGTCGAGGCTTGGCCGCACACGCTGGCCCGGGGAGTTTGTGCGTTCGGTGATGGCAGCTGCAGTTCGCATGCGAGTCAACGGTCGGCCGCGCGCAAGTCTCACGTCTCTCAGCACGTTCGTGCGTGCTCGGCCACCACTTCGCGTGGCTACACCCAGTCAGGGTCGGCGTTTGGTCCAGGTTTTTACAAGAAGTTACAATTCAAGGCTACCAAAAAGGAATGGTTTTACCAAATTTCAAAACTTTTGGGGTCAACAAAACAACATATATTTCAGGCGTTCACAATTTCAAAAGTTTCAAAGTCTCAAAAATAGCAAGGTGCAAGTTCGAGTTCCAAGTCCACCAACTTCTTAAAACAGCAAAACGCAATACACCACAGATCTAACGATATGCAAAATCTCAAAAGAACTTTCATGACGATTCTCCCGAAGTCAGCGGCTTCTGCCGATCCATTAAATAGATATCTCGCCTTGGCTCTTCCGACAAACAGTGTCGGCTGACACGTCAGCTCTTCATCGGGTAGCTAAACGTGTCAGCAGTCCTAAACGAGCGCAACTCACTTCTCAATCTTCACACTTTGGAATTTGAACGCGAAGTTCCTCCAGATTCCGAAAGGAGGAAAAGAACAAAATTTAGAATAAGGACGGGTCCGCACTACGCGATGTGCTTACTCCAGACTCGACTATCCTCCTTAAAAGATTTCTGCATAATCCTTTAAGGTGGAAAAACACTCCATCCTCTTATCGAACCGAATTGTGCTGGCTTCAGCTCCTGTGCGTTTATCTCGATGCCAAGCGTGAATAATTAATGTCCCCCCGAGGTTAGGTTATTCAAAAAAAAGTGGCGATAGAAAAATTTTGCCCTCGAGCCTTCGTGATATTTTAACGATGGCCTTCGAACGGAATTCTCATACTTCGCAAGGAAATAACGATAAGCAGAAGCAAAGAGATGCTTATTCTCACTTGAAATCAGATTTTTTTTTTTTTTTCAAAACAAAGTCAACTCCGAACATAGGATAAACCAGAATTAGCTAAACTTCAAGATAAACGAGTGTTAAAGTTAGGAAGCTTAAAATAGTTTACACAGCGAATCAAGAATAGGGAAAAATCAAACGAAATCCTCAAAATATGAAATTTGGATAACAAAAAGAAACCTCAAGCAGAATTCAAAATTGTTTGCAAGCGTATACAAGAAGACAAGAATTTAAGAAAGGAAACACGACTGCTTCGCCTTCACGAGTCCACGATTCACTGTTTTCATCATCGGTTCAAGCTGTTCCCGGTAAGTCCCGCTGTCGCTAGAAAATCGCTCACGGTGTGAAATATAGAAAAGAAATCTTGACGTCTCCCTCAAGATAGAAATGTCACTTGAGGTTGCGGCATAAAATATGCACGCGGTGCCAGATAGGTCTATCCGCCTTAAGAACAAGGTCGGATTCCTTCGTTGAGAGAATTTCGCAAAAGAAAAGGTCACTATCATCTATCTCGAGGCCTAGCCACTCTCGAGAGTCGCGACAGTGTTACACATTAAGTTTCCCCAACACTCCTCAGGGTCGGACATTAAGTATGCACAAGGCCCCCAGACTCTACTCCGTGTTCGCACTCGACTGGGGGTCAAATACACATCTAATGGTCTTAACAACCATGGTTACAGACCTCCGAATATTCCACACTTGGGACTTCTCCGGTTGTCTGCTCCCTTCGTTTAAGCCTTCTCCTTTCGAGATGGCTCGCGAATGGTCCTCTTACGAAGACACCAAAACACATCGAGAGGACTGTTATACACAGAACTCAGCTCGATAACACCATATCAAATTTCTAAACAAACAAAACCTCAAGTTAGAACTTAACTCTATACCGCTAGAGTTCAAATTCATACAACTAAGGTTCGCCACTCATCTAGAGTTCCAGAACGTTTAAGAGTAGGAGGATAAATTCCTAAGCCCCAGTTTACATCTCATAATATCATAACATTGCACATAAGCAATTCCAAATTCACTCATTCATACCTGAGTTGGCGAGGCACGACGGAAGCGAGTGGTCATATACTACATCAATAATACAAGTACTTCACATAATTCACGTATACCAGTCTACAGAAACGCAGACTGGCTCTGATACCAAACTGTAACGCCCCACTTTTATTTGCCGAAAATCAGAAATAGTTTTTCAAATTTATTACAAGCATTTGTGGCGTTACTCATTTAGTTCGAATCACTACCATAACATAAATCATCTAACTCCCAAAACGGGATTCATAAATCCATAAATTCTCAATTCGCCCAAAACGGGTTCCCAAAATAAATCTCAAGTTTAAAGACATGACAATGTCAACGGGGCATCTCTCCAATAGTATCTCAATACTCCATAAATTCTCAAAGTTCGGAAATGCATAAATCATAAATAGTCATAAATATAGCGGAAGCAAAATCAATTAATAACCGGTCTCATAGACCGACCACCACTCGCTCTACTCCGCCGTCGTACCTGCCTCGCTTAACCTGAAACGTGAATTTCAGGTGGGGATGAGCACAGTTGGAAAAAGTAGTGCTCACCACTATGCAGTGAACATTATTCACAATAATGAAACAGTAATCAATAATCAATAAGGTATGGTCTCAGCATGAATACGACTCAATTAATTATCCCAATCTCCTATCAATCATATCAATAATAGACTCATGTGCACACCTATACCAATAGACTACTGCCGGTAGATGTATCGAAGGCCCTCGCTCGGGTCATGCTTCGAATGCCCCATGGGCTCTACATCTATGCCCTCCGGTCCTACACATCGAATCGCCCCACGGGCTTCCATCGATGCCCGGTCAATAGGAGTAACCCGCCGGCCAAGGCCTCACCTTGGTCTTACCAACGGGGTTGTCCAGCACAAGGACCTTTAACCCTGGTCTTACGGCTAAAAAAGGAGACTACCCTACGGGTACGTTCTATAGCTACGGGGATAACCATTCGACGGTCGGTACAGCTCACATCGAAGGCTACATGGTTCCACATGCATACTTTGATCATACCATAATTAAAACAGTAATAACATTTACAGCATAGACAAATTTACATTAAACCCACCTGATACTGCAGAAGATGATGGTGAATGAACAGTCAAACAATGGCGAGGGCTCGACTCCTCTTAATCTACAAATTAAGGATTTAATTATTATTAAGGGTTTCGATTGGATTGATTAGGGCACACAAACCAACAACTAAAACTCATAAAATAAAATGCAAATAGTAACTACTCATAAAATATACATAAAAAGTCTAGCGGAATAGGTAATCAAATAAACTATACAGAACACATGCTATAGCTTATAAATATTACTTTGACAGCATGAGTAAAGCACTCTAAAGACTTCAACAAAACCCACCATTTACACGGCTCGGGAAAATAACACCAGATATATTCACATTTCTTTATCTATTTTCTTTTCTCATGCACAATTCAATATCAACTAAGGCAAGACCCACACCAAGTCACTTAGGTTGTAAGGACCGAAATAAAAGCCTACAATCACCTCTAATTTAGCAAGTTAAAAAAAATCACAATACATATATGCTTCAACCAAATAGGGTATACTTCGGCCAACATCACAAGAACATACAAAAATCGTGCTTTCACCCTTTTCTTCTTCTCATATTTAAACACAAGTCATAAGGCATTTATAACTGAGATTAAAGGCTTTGAACATGTACACAACAACACTACTTAAAACATAAAATGACTTCATCAGGCTCAGCAAAAGTATCACATAACTCGGCCAAATAAGCACAACATAGCCTCATCATCACCCACTTTTCTCATGCATCAGAGGCATCATATTAAGGCCTCAAACACGGCACAAAACATAACATATAATCTTCCCATTTTCTCTTCAGTTAACATCTAAGCTAAGCATGCTAAGAGACACCATAAGTTTCAGCAACAACATCACAAATGGCTAAGGAAAACAACACAATAAGCCTATCTTTCATTTTCTTTTCTCATGTTTGAGTAAATAACATTCAAGGAACAAATAATTGAAATAAAATCTCTAAAAATAATCCATCTACAGTATGCTAAAACGCATCATACTATCTCAGCAAAACAGTCCGAAACTCGAGCCAACAACAAGAAAGCGTATCTCATTCTCCTGTTCATTATTTAGCCAATTACACAAATAAACACCCAAGAAAATAACACCAAATTCATTCCCGACTATCCATGGGTATCTAAATTTCACACAGCACACCATGTATAACACAACTTGTAAGGTCCGGATTTCACAAAGAAAAGGGGATTTGGCGAAAATTACCTCTCGTCGGGGGACTATACGCAGCAAAAGAGGGACCGGGGATGGAGGCCTCGGCCACGGCTCGCCTCGGATGAACGCCCCTTGCTCTCAGTGGTCTCAGCCGCTGATGCGAGGCCTCAACGGCTGCTGCACTCTCGTACGGGCCACGAAAGGGCTGTCGAAATTCTCCCACGGGTCCGAAAGGGCTGCCGCTGCTGTTCGGGCCCTAACCGAAAGCCGACGGGGTGCCGCTAGTATGCTCGAAGGTCGCCGAACTGAGAACGGCTGCTCGTAAACGACGGGGTCAGACATGGTCACGCCAATCAAAGTGTCCAAAACTGGCTCAGCCCGCTGCTCAAACTCTCCTCTGTTCGTCGGTAAGATTCGCTCACCAAAGGTCATTTCAGTCACGAGGGTCAGACATGGTCGCGCCGGAAGTTCAACGTGACCGGACGATGGTCACCGGGCGGTGGTGAAGCTCGCCGGGGTTGAGACTCGTCGCGACTTGAGGTAAAGCTCGAACTCGTCGGAAATTACTGAAACGCGAGAATTCTCATTGGTACTCCACGGGGAAGAAGAGAACTTGCCGAAAATTGGGGCTCAAGGTCGTGGCGGCATCATCTCACGCGAACCAAAGCTCTGAAATACCCGATGTGTGCGGACCTAGGGTGGATCGCGGTGCTTGCTGCTCGCTGGAAGGTGTCGTTGCTTCACGGCAAGGGCTGGCGAACGGAAATTGCTGCTCCTTGATGTCGCGTGCGGGGTTGACGAGATGGGGCGACGGCTGTTGTTTGGTCCAGCCGGAGATTGGCAGAGGGAGAAGGCCTCCGATGACTCTCGCTGTCGTTATTCAGAATCTCCCACCAATTGCTGCTAAGTGGACGATCGACGAAGGGCTGTGAGGGAGAAATTGGGATTATTGGCGATCGAAGGATGGATTAAATGGTGATTTGAAATCTGGGATTCAATCGATATCTGAAGGAAAATCTGGTTGGAGAAGAAACCTTGCTATCATATAGATTTGTGAATTTCTGAGAGACCGAGTAATCCTTTCGATGATTTTAAAAGCGAGATTCGAACGTGAGAGAGAAAAGATCACTGAACGATCGGAACAGAAAAACCAATGGTATGGACATGGGTGGACTCGGTCATACGGGGAAGAGAAGATAAATATCTGTTGGGTTATAGATTTGGGCCAAAGGAATAATTAAAAGAGTTGGGGCCGAAAATATATCTTGTAATGGCTTAAGAATTTAACTCAATTGGGCTAAGGCTGATTTACAAAAGGTATGGGCCGAAAGTAAATATTCGAATGTACCGAAAATATTCCCGATAAATTGGGCCGATAGAATAACGCGATAACAAGGACTTTCGATCGATACGATTACCCAGTTGGCGATTGACAATAATAAAATAGCGCGACTTATTAAATCAATTAGACGAGAACCTCTAATTAAAATAATAAGCCTAATCGAAATTATGGAGTAATTACTGGAATAAACTAAAATAAGATAATCACTTAATAATTAAGGACAATTAAGCATATAAGAATTAATATTCAAGCAGATAAATCATAAGGCAAAGACGAGCAAATAATATAAAACAAAGGAATAAATTAAATAAAATGCAAATAAATAATAATATCATATTCAAAAAATTCTAATAAACGAACGGCTTATAAGCTACGCGATTAAACATATATCGCCGAACGACGAACGTTTTAAAATAAAACGATCAAGTACTTCAACATAGAATTTAAGTCGACAACGCAACTAATACAATAAATATAATCTTATAAATCAAATTCGATAAATAGAATAATCCCAGAAATTCTATAAATCGAACGGGGCGCTACATATGTATTGAACAGGATCCCAAAGAGGAGAAGTTCATTTTATACTGATCGTCGTAAATGAACTAGGCCTCGGTTAATTACTGCGTTCTCTTAACCCGTAAGATATTAAACAGGCAGATATATATAATATATATTACTTTGATTCACATGGGTGAGGTTCAGTTCGCTGATTACTATTCCTACTGTTTTGGGTAATATTATTATATATAGGATGTGCTGTTAGGATATTTACGGTCACCATGTGCGTTAGTTTGATGATGTCCCCGGAGTGAGTTCATGAAGAATTGTTATGCTAAACCCTGCAGGTGGATTAAATTCCGACATAATAAGAATGTGATGAATGAGCGCTAGCTTCGGTGAAATAATAATAAATTAATTAATTCTTGATTGTCAGTAATCGAATTAATTAATGGACATTATCTTAAACGTTGGGAGGTAAATCGAGTAATTATTATTGGAGTCTCAAATGTAATTTGGGCTAGGGAAAGGGAGTGCAATAATATAATGTTGGTGGCCCATTAATATTATTTAATTAATTAGAGGAGTGGGTTTGGCCCACAGTTAGTCTAATTAATTAAGGAGCATTTTCCTAATCTCCTTAGGGTCCCTACTGTAACTCTATATATACATCATTAAGCTCATGAGAAGAGAATCCCAATATATTCACGAGATATACACGCCCCACGCCTCTCTCTCTCTCTAGATCTCATTCGAGCTTTATCTTCTTCTTGTTGCTCCACTGGTACAAGTTGAAGAAGGGTATATTGAGTAATACAGTAGAAGATCTGTAGGTAAACCGAGACGAAATATATTTTGACCTACAGAACTAACCGGAAGTTCGATTGAGACGTACAGTATACCCAGACGACCGTCTCGACGAGAGCTTTCCATCGCTGCCGACGTAGCCGGAATCCGATGCCGCACGCACCCTCACGCACCGCCGGAAGGAGCCTGACTGCAAAAACTCGTTTTGATCTGTTTGCATCCGTTTGATCCGGTTTTGATCTGATCTTGTTCGTGCAACCCAAGACGTGATTTACGGTCAATCAATTGCGGTCAACCGTTCGTGGTCAACCAGATCTACATAAATTTTAAGCCGTAAGTTCTCTACGTCAAACCTTTAGATCCGCTGCACATAGGTTTACGTTTGCTATTGAATTCGTGATTTGTACATAACGAGATCCTCACAGATCCCAACAAGTGGTATCAGAGCACTTGGTTAATTCGTTTTGTACAAAGTTCTAATTTTTACGGCTTTATTTGACAAGATCTGTTCAAACGCAGCCATATATTGGATTATATTTGCATAACTCGGTTTTGCAGGAAAATAGTTAATCCACTATTATGGCCGATTATGTGTTTGATGAATGTTGTTGAATGTGATGTATGATTTTAAATTTGTTTTTAAAGCCTCGGGCATGTCGAGGAATTTATGGATGAATGTTTGTAATAATTATTCACCCGGGGGTTGACCGGATAGATTTAATTATTTGTTTAAAAAACATGTACATCCATTCGTTGGATCTAAGATCGAATTATGTAATTTTGTAAATTATATTTTTCGTGTTGTGATCGTGTGTTGATGACCGGGAGATCACAAGAGATCAACGAGCCTCGAAAGAAAGAAAAAAAAAACGGTGGCTTTTCCCGGCAAACTGGCAGGCGGCGACCGGTGGCCGGCGGCGGCGGAGTGGTGGCGGCAGCTGGTGGTTCGTTTTTGCCTTGATGATCAAGCAGTACAAGATCAACCAGGATTCTACTGCTTAAAGGAGTTCCAGTTGAACATGGAAAGAACTGTCACAGTTTCCTTGTTTAAGGAGACTCAATATTTAATGGCCATAATAGTGGATTTATTTATTTATTTAATTAAATTTATTATGCCATTAAATTATTATTTATGCATCTCAATTATTTATGTTCTTGCATGGGATTAATTTAGTATTGCTAGATTAATTATGCATGTTAATTAATTATGTAATGCATAGAATTAATTTGGAATTGTGTCAATAAATTATGCATGTAATTAATTATTGCACTGGCATGGATTAATTTAGAATTGCATAAATTATTGAACATGTTAATTAATTATTGCATTGACATAGATTAATTTAGAATGGCATGAATTAATATGCATGTTAATTAATTATTGCAATAACATAGATTAATTTAGAATTGTATGAATAGTTCAAAATCCTCATAAAAATTATACTAAGTTTGAGAAGGGATTTTAAATTAAAGTTAATTGTAAAATTCCTAAGGCCTCCATTTCTAACTTGTCGGTAAATCAATTAAGCTGCGGTAATGGGCTCCCCCTCGGGTGACATTGCTAAAATTTAATTGTAGGAAATTACCAGGACAAATTTCTAATAAGTAGACGGTTAGAGGAAATCTTATGAGAGCGTACGGGCTTCACCTCGGATGACGTATAATCAAATTTGACGACCTTATGACCGAGAAATGGGATTCACTTAGAATGCGATTAAATTTATTAACCCCCCTCGGGGTCCCTGAATTCTATTGCATGGCCAAATGGAGACCGACTATTAATTTCGTTCGTCATGAATTTGGTTTTGACTTATGGAAATTAATGGGCCTTAGAAAAGCCCTTCTCTTACAAAATGCGAGTTTGTAGGGCGACCCTCGTAGCATGCATTCTCACAAGGTGTAATAGATGTCGGTGGATTTAAGTTAATGTTGTTTTGAGGATATCAATATTAACAGTTAAATTCAAAAGTGTTTAATCTATAAAATTTATTTGCATGATTCGCAGGATATTCATCATGTCATTCAATCCGTTGTCTGACATTCTAAAAGAAAATCAGCTTACTGGTCTGATGGGTCTACTTCCAGATCTGAAGTAAACCGGTGGTTGTAAGCTCAGATCTGCTTGAACCGCCTCCAAACCGTCGCTAGACCGCGAGAATACCTGCAAAACTCAACGCCGGAGGTGTTTCCGGCGTAGAGCCTCCGACGCTCAAGTCAATATGTGAGTGATGAAGAGAGGCTGCGCAGCAGCTATGGGGGAGAGTGGGAATGAATGAGAGTTAGGGTTTTAGGGTTACCTCACCTCCTTTATATAGGAGTGAATATTTACCTGGAATACCCAGAATGCCCAAGTCGGTGGACCTAGAAGGTCCAAAATGCCCCGGTCGATTCGTCTCCCCTTATTGCTGAGTCATCACAAGATTCCTTCTTACCCTTTGTGGTATGTAGAGCTTCAAATAGGCTATAAGTGTAATGAATCGTCTTCGCTGTCCTGGTCCTTGAGATGTAGGGAGTCGACCTCGAGAGCTAAGAAGTCGATTTGTGGATTCGTGTGGATTCGGAGGCTACGCTTGGTTTAACTTTCTGCGGTGCAGTCGACTAGTAGAAGTCGACTTAGGATATCGGGATGCTCGAGCGCTGTACTATTACTGTTCTTCTTTCATCGATGTCGATTACTGAAAGTCGATAGACTAAGATCGACTTGCGGAAGTTGATTAGACCGACTTCTGCCTCTTCTTGATTGCTCAGCCAAATCGACCTTAGGGAAGTCGATTTGGGAATGTCGACAGAGTCATGTCGGCATACGAGTAATTCGAGTGGTTCGCTGGGCGAGCAAGGAGCTTTTGGACCGGGTTATCCTTATGTGGCTATATCATCTAGTCTCCCCCAAAAATTACTCTAAGCAGTCGACTGCTTGAGAGTAAATTTGGTGAGGTATAATTGTGTCGTTTTCCAACCAGTCTCGCTCGTATTGGCCTTTTTTGCAACTCGTCTCGTCAATCAATTAGGACGCACCTCAAACTCATGATTGTCTTTTCGGATAAGTCTGACACTCTGACAGACCTATTTCAAATTTCAAATTTTTGAAAACCCTAAAGCAACGCGCGTCATTGTTGTGATTATTTTTGTTACGTTTTTTATTGTTATTTTACATTTATTTTCCCTCATTTTTAGGTCTTTTAGAAGGTCTTTCGGTCCATTTAGTTGTTTTTGGTTATTTTTGTTGTTCTAGTGTTTATTGTGTATTTTGTGGTTTTTCGTGTGTTTTCGTGTATTTTTGTG